TTTTCAAGTTCTATTTCTTTTTCCATTGTCATGTAGGAAAAATCTTGGGGAAAACCTTGTTGGGGTCATATGATTGGCCAAACTTGCAGCTTTAGAGAAGACACCTGTGGCCAGAAGTCAGGCTATGACTAGCCCAATTATCTTAGCCAAGAGATGGTGGCTAAAACATATAGCAGCTCCCTTGGGAACCACACAGGAGAGCCCAAAAACAGAGAAAGTTCTTCCCAGAGAAGTAATATTGAGATAAACTTACAGATGGACCCCAAACCCTCTCTTTGTCTGTTAGGAAAGAGATCAATTATTGACGTACATACATAATCTTATTGCCAGTTTAATATGAGTTTAACAATAATGGCATACTATTAACAAAGTCAGAGCATAATCATTCTGCCTCCAAGAGCTTAAATAAACAAAGTTTAAAAGAAAATAATCAGTTCTGTTTTGGCTAAGTCTCGGTAGGAGTGATATTTTAAAAATAGCTAGGATGGGCAGAATGTTACAGGGAAGGGTCCTATAGTGAGGAGACTAAGAGGAACTGAGCATACTAGAAGAACTTTTAATATTTGTCTTATTAAACACAGATTCTTTGCTACTCTAGGAAATCACCATTTTCATTTGTTGTATACAAAAGCCACATTAAAAAAAAAAATCTGGATTTCACATTAGGCATTTGTTCCTAAGGGAAGAAAACTTAGCTTGTGATAGTTGATGGCTTGGATATGGAATTCCATAGTTAACATGAAGGTTGGAGTCACAGTCATCGTTGTGAGTTCCTCTTTTATGTAGAGTCTAACATCCAAATAATTGTAAGAAAGGGAAGGGTAAATAGTGACATCCTTTTGAGAAGCAATAATAAAGTAATTACACACAAAGGTAAATATCTGCAAATGATACCTTATAGAAAAAGCCAACTAAACAAGCAAGACCTAGCACTAGCTGAGCAATCAAAAGGGAGAATCAGCAAAGGCTAGTTTGGAAAGGAAGAAGACCTGGGCTGGACTGCACTCCCATGTCAGAAGCAAAGAAGCAAGATCCAAGGTAACTTTTTCCAACAATGGGAGTGACCTATATTTGTGCTGTGTCTTATTGACATGGGAATATCATCGAAGAGGTAGAATAACATGAGAAAAAGTGTAAACCCAGGTGTGTGCCTGGATAGTTCTGAGAACAAACTCCTTCCTAGTTTATTGGAGTATCATGGATGCCCATACAAGAAAGGAAATCCAGAGCTGGAGTATAATATATTTGGAATTTAACACAAGTTAAATCTTTAGGAAATATTAAAAGGAAAAAATATTTAAGATAGAGTGGAAGGACAAAAGAGCAAGATGAGGTGAATATCAGTGTTGTGAGCAGAAGTGAGATGGTGGGGTTGAAGCACATGCTGGGGATCACTGCTGCATTGGAGACACAATTTTTCTTCCATTTTAGGCATAGAAATGAAGGCAGGTCAAAATGGAACAAGAGTGCAGGGTTCTGGGAGGACAGGGAAGGTAGAGATGTGATTTTATGCTGAGGGAGTTTATCTAAGTGCAGATAGATCATTTGAGAAGAGAAAATAAAATGACTAGTCAGATTCTGTCACAACTGGGAAAAGACAGGATCAAGAAAAGGAAAAGATTAACCTTGGAAGAAAGGAGCAGGAAACCAAGTTAAGGATCCATCATGTTGTCTGTTGGTAACTGAATGTGTTTTTCCTTAATGTTTTCATGACCACCTCAGGAGAGAAGCATCATCCCTGTCACAGAGATAAGGAAGCTCAATTTGCAGTAAACAAAAGAACACAGATAAAGACCTGAAGGCCTTGAGATAGAGATAATAGAAGTTGAGATGGTTGCTTTGTAACTACTGCCATCTTCTTCAACAATCTAGATAACACTTCTCAAATTCTAATGTGCACATGAGTCTCCTGGGAATCATGTCAAAATGCAGATTCTGACTGAATTATTCTGGGGTAGGTAGAATTTGCTATCTAGCATGCTTCTTGGAGATACTGAAAATACTGGTCAATGGGCCACACACTTTGAGTAGCAAGATGGAGAAAGCTAAGTCATCAGCATAGAGTTTCTAGAACAGTGTCAGGTATTTAGTAGATGCTAGATCTTGATCAATATTTGTTGGACTGTAGCTAAATTGAGAAGTGGTGATGAAGTGTGTACACTGGTAGCAAAGGAGGTGGAAACTAGTGCTGACAAGTATATAGAAAAGTCTGGAGGTCTGAGGGCAAAGAGGAGGGCAAGGAGATACAGCAAGAAGTGAACTTCTTAGTGCCCTGGAGGAAAAGTGGTACTTCCAGTTTGTGAAGGCTGAATCCAAATCAAACAAAAGTCAGAACTAAGTGGGGAGAAAGGGTGTGAGATCTTGTTGGGTGACTTGATTGATGAGATGTCATCATGATAAGAATGAGGGGACTAGGTAGAAGGAAAGATGAAAATGTGAGCAGAATCTGGCATAACCAAGAAAATATTCTGGAGTCAGGTAAATGATAGAGGTGAAAATACGGAAAGAGAAGTGTGTGATCATTGGATTCAGATGAGTTGCTAGAGATTTAGTAGTGACCTGTAGCATAAGGTAGGGTTTGTAACTTTGGCAAAGCATCCATATGAGCTGGGGAGGTTTTGGGAATACTGACTCTCAGTCTCTGACACTAGAGATTTGGAGTTCCTTATCCTAGGAGCAAGCTCTATAGTCTGCATTTTAAGCAGTTCTGCAAGTGATTCTGATATTGTAGCTGAGGTGGGGGATCTATTAAAAACCTCTCATTAAATCCTTGGGGTGAAAGGAAGACGAGAACAGCCCTTTAGGGAAGGGAGCATAGTGAGGAGAGGACTCTTTGGGTCAAAATAGAGGCCATGCAGGAGTCTCCACAGAAATGGTCAGTCTTTGCGCACTAGAATTTTACAAGACAGTTTGATAAATGACACTGCTATAAGGCTGTAGTTTTTCATAATTTCTTTAACTGTGACAGTCATGATCAGGCAATCTCTTTCAAATGATCAAATAGACTATCTTGTGACCCAAGCCCAGATAATATTTGTTCAGATTTAATCCATTTCATAGATTAGTGCATCAAATTTCATGTTCATTTTAAATCAATGTGGTTTGTTTAATGTAATTCTCTAAGAGAATTCCTTTCTTGACTTCTTTTATTCTTAGATAAGAAGAGTTTTTTTAAAAAAAAAAATGTTTAAAACCATAATGGAAAGGCAGTGTGGGATAATGATGAAGGTCCTGAGTCATGTAGCTTGTCTGGGATTGTACCCAGCTCTGCCTTTTACCAGCTCTGTGGCCTGGAGGCCAGACTTGAATCTTCTGCATCAATTGTTCATATGTGAAGTTGAAGATATAGCACCAACAGCATGGGAAGACTCTCAGAATTAAATAAGTAAATCTCTTCAAACTGTGTTCAGCATATAAAAATGATTAGCAAAGGTTTTCTGGATTATGACTACAGTCAGCTCTCTATATATGTGGGTTCCATATCTGCAGATTCAACCAACTATAGATCAAAAATATTGCATCTGCACTAAATATGTACAGAACATTTTTCTTATTATCATTCCATAAGCAATACAGTATAACAACTATTTAAATTGAATTTACATTGTATTATGTATTGTAAGTAACTGGAAATTATTTAAAGTGTACAGGAGGATGTGTGTAGGTTATATGCAAACATCACATCATTTAATACAAGGAACTTGAGCATCCATGGATTTTCATATATGGTCAGAGTCCCAGGACAAATCCCCCATAGATACCAAGGGACAGCAATGCCTTGTCAGTATTATAGCTATTAGTTATATAAGACTTGCTTTATATGCTTTTGGGAAAGAGAATCTTCACATGTGGGAAACAGCAGTGGAGCCTTTCAAAGAAAGTCCACACCATTGATTTTTACTCTAGTAAGAATGATTGAGATTGCTTGTCACAGCCACCTGAGCAATTGCAGAAAGAGCTGTAGGTTCTTCAGGTGTACTAAGAAAAGATATCAGTGGAGAAAATTAACTTAATGTAATTGACAAGTGTTTTATTGGTCATCTACTGATTGTTAGGAGTCACCATAGTGCTAAAGAGAAAAAGACCCATAGCAGCTCTATTGAATCTTGGTTTTGAAATTGGAGTTTTGAACCCAAGGCCCAAACTCCTGAGATTCCTTATGCCAGGTCTGGCCACCTACTCCTAAACACCAAATAAAGAGGCATGATGGAGGCAGAGAAAGGAGGTTTATTACAAGGCTCCGGAAGAGAGAGTAAGCACTTAGTCCATCTTCAGCCATCTTTGCAGCACAGACATGAGCTATAGGTTTAAGGAGACAAAAGAATTGGGAGCAGGGGACAAAGGTATGCTTAGTTAAATAGTCCCAGTCACAGGTGTGTTCTGGTTGACCATTATCTTGGTCCAAGGGTTCCCAGAGGGGTCCCTCTGTCATCACTTGAGGGGAGCATGATTGCTCCTTCTCCAGGGTGCAGCCTCATCATTACAGGTAATTTTCCTGATTTGGAGGGGTGCTCTGTCCTACAAGTCTCCACTGTTGCTTAGAGGAAGTTTCAGTCCCTTGTCATAAAGATATTATCAGTTCGGTCCTTTATTGAAAGCAAGGTGATTGCAAAGTGACTGCAAAGAGAATGGTTTAGAGCAAAGACAGATACAAAATGGAGACAGGGATGCCAAGCTTCTCCTATTTTTAGTTAGTTTGTGGGACCAAGGAGTCAGTGCCTTTCAGCAAAAGCAGTTTAAGCACCTTAAAGTTTGATAAGAAAATGGATGCAAGACAATACAGAAATTGTAGTCACTGCATTCATGGTGATACGAAGTTCAATGGCAAATTAAAATTGTGTCCTCATTGCCAGTGTTAGTGTCTGGCAGTTTGAACTATTGTTCAATGCCTATCACAGATTTTCTAACTGCAGATGTTGTTGTTTGGGGTGGGAAGGGTCAGGGGAGGAGGCTCTATCTGTGATCATATAAAACAGCAAACTGGCATTTTCTTTCCCCAGCTTATTCAAAAGTTGACAGATGTTGCTGAAGAATGTCAGAACAATCAATTAAAGAAGCTCAAAGAAATCTGTGAGAAGTAAGCCTTCCTTGTCATTGCAAATGATGACACATATATAAATTTATTAAACACAAATTGCCATTTTATTTACCTGCTTAATTTTTTTCCCATTTTGACTTCAGAGAGAAGAAGGAATTAAAGAAGAAAATGGATAAAAAGAGGCAGGAGAAGATAACAGAAGCTAAATCTAAAGACAAAAGCCAGATGGAAGAGTGAGTAGAAAGTACCTTCTCTCCCCTACCTTGGACCTGGGAATTATTTTATTTCTGCACCACAGCAGCAGATTCTTAACCAAAGACCCTTCATTTAAGTTTCCCCTCTAATTAACCTTTCAAATGATCCCTTTTGTAAGGGAGGGATCATTTGATCTTTCAAAGGATAGTTCAATAAAGGAGTGAGGGGCATGCTGAGTCTTTTAGATAAAAACTAAAGAACTTCCCTGGGGAAACGGCTAAATCCTTACTTCCCAAATTGTCAGGCAGCCTTCGGAGCACTTAATGAAAACAGAGCCTGTGCCTTGGGAGGAACCTGACCTTTGCAAGAAACTGGCAGAATGTACCTTCTTTGCAGTATTCATAAGAAGATTGAGTTCTATAACCTTTTATCTAGAAGGCTGAGATTGCAGGCGAGTTGATATAATGATCTGTGCATCATTTGCATTTAGGGAGAAGACAGAGATGATCCGGTCATACATCCAGGAGGTGGTGCAGTATATCAAGAGGGTATGTCTATGTCAATTCATTGTTCTAGATCCTTTGCAAACTGTGTGTGAAGCTCATTGTGAACTTCTGGAAGGACAATCATGACTTCTTGTACCTATTCATCACCAGCACCCGGCCACTTTACAAGTCAATGATTCTTCAAGTTTAATTGCAAACCACTCTGTATGAAAGTGCTAATCTAAAAATGAACAGACAAGAATCACCACCTAAGTCAGGAGTTTAGAAAGATGATGTAAAAGAAAGGCTTTCCCAAATCTTTAGTTGTTATCATCCAACTTCTAGAGGGAATCTTTTTTTTTCATTTGATGTTATGGAAATATTCAAAATTTACAAAAGTGAGTTCCTTGTGTACTTCCCACCCAGCCACAAAACTTATCTACCATCTTCCATACTTAAAAGGGCAGTTCTTACCAGAATACCAAACAAGTAAATGTATGCCCTAGAGTTGAAAAACTTTTGTAATTGTATGAAAATGCACAAAAGTTTTTGATTTTTTTTCTTGAAAATCACCTTTTTTCCCTCCAATTTCTTTGTAGTTAGAAGAAGCACAAAGTAAACGGCAAGAAAAACTTGTAGAAAAACACAAGGAAATTCGCCAGCAGATCCTGGATGAAAAGCCCAAGGTAAACAGAACTGAATGAGAACACTCAATTATTTCATTTTCTTTCCTTTCAGTAAGAATAAAACTTTCCTGGTTCACGTGAGTACCTCGCACATGCTGTCAGATCATTTCTCCCATGTGAAATTCATCTATCTTTTGGTGACACTAAAATTCTTTATAGAAATATTCTCTAAACATTTGTCACCAACTGATGATCTTCTGATAACTGCAAGTGTACGAAACGCACCTCCAGAGATTTGTTTTCAACTTGTCTGAGGTGTGGCTGAAGTGCAGGTATTTTTAAAGTCTCTTTTCCCCAAGCTTTCTGTACATTTGGAGATTAACCAAGCCTCTTTGTTACTTTTAACGCTAAGTACCCAAAATAATGTGATGACAGACTATGGTCGAGCAGAGGGGACCCCACAAAAATCACTATCAGTTTTACCCAACAAAATGCTCTCATAAACTAGAGAAAATTTGCTTTTCTCTGTAACAATTATGTATGGCTCATGTAGCACAGTGGTACAGGGAGTGCTTAGTATAAGTAAGGCCCTGGGTTCAATTCCCAGTCACAACATGACAGTTATGTTCATTGCTTATTAAAATTAGTTGTCTCATGAATATTAACCTTTATTGAACTGAAGATCTATAAATAAAATGCTTTCTTTTTTAGCAAATCTCATCTTGATTTTAGAACATGCCATCCTTTTTGATTCATTCTTGAATATATTTATGTGTGTAAAAAAGTGTGCTTTTAGTGTTTGTCTCTTTCTACCTGCAGTTTAAAATCTACACTCAAGAAAGGTACTAACATTTGCTGGGAATAGTGATTCACACCTGTAATCTCAACACTTGGGAGGGTGAGGCAGGGGGATCACAAGTTCAATGCCAGTCTGGGATACATACCAAGAAGCTGTCTCATACAGCAACAAAAGTACTGTCATTCCACAAGAATGCTTTTTGAGTCTGCAAAGGTCAAGTGTTAGCTTTATATAATTGTATATTCCTTCCCTAATTTATTTCAGATAAATTTCTTCTGACTAAATATATTTTTATATTTACTTATGCTCTTCTATGTTCTTATTTATTGAACATGACACTTATTTTATCTTTCTGATACCTACAGTTTTGGTTTTGTGGGGTTTTTTTGTTTGGTTGGTTGGATTTTTTTGCAATACTGGGGTTTGAACTCAGGGCCCACACCTTGAGCCACTGCACTAGCCCTTTGTTTTTTGTTGGATTTGTGTGGATGTGTGTGTGTGTGATGGGTTTTTTCTTTTTTTTTTTTTTTGACTGTAACAAAATTTATTTAGCATTTCTTCAGATGACATTTACAATTTTACTTTTTTGGGAGATAAATTTTTTTTTCCTTTTTTTTTTATTATTCATATGTGCATACAAGGCTTGGTTCATTTCTCCCCCCTGCCCCCACCCCCTCCCTTACCACCCAGTCCGCTCCCTCCCTCTCCCCCCCTAATACCCAGCAGAAACTTTTTTGCCCTTATTTCTAATTTTGTTGTAGAGAGAGTATAAGCAATAATAGGAAGGAACAAGGGTTTTTGCTGGTTGAGATAAGGATAGCTATACAGGGCATTGACTCACATTTTTTCAAGAGAGGGTCTCTTGAAATATTTGCCGTGGTTGGCTTTGAACCATGATCCATCTAATCTCTGCCTCCTGAGTAGATAGGTTTACAGATGTGAGCCACTGGCGCCCAGCAATACTTACAGTTTTTAGGCTTAGCAATATAGATTTTTCAAACAAGAATTAATAATTATTTAGATATGTTGTTCATTGTTATGTCTCTCATAGAAATACACAGGTTAGAACGTCTTAGCCTCCTTCTCAAACTCTTGCTTATGCATAAGTAGAATGGGATAAATATTAACGTAAGTTTAGATATTGCTATACAGTTGTCTCCCCTATGTTCAATTTCATTTTCCTTGGTTTTAGCTACTCATAGTCAACCATTGTCCGAAAAGATTAAATGGAAAATTCCAGAAAGAAGCAATTCACACATTTTAAATCACATGCCTTTCTTAGTAGTGTGGTGAGACCTCTTTCTGTCCCACTTCAGCTGCCCAGAAAGTGAAATATCTTTTCCTCCAGCCCAGTCACACCGTATGCTACCCACCCATCAGTCACTTAGCCGCTCTCTCTGTTGTGAGATGGACTGTTAAGGTATCACAGGGTTTGCCTAACTCTTTTTTTGTTTAATAATGGCCCCAAAGTACAAGAGTAGTGATGGGAGGGAACCACCAGGGCATAAAACATGGAAGGACAAATTCATTCTGATATTTTGTAAAAATACTGCAGGGCAGAAAAAACATTTATAAGGTCTGATTCTATCCATGGATTCAGGCATCCACTGAGCATCTTGGAAGGTGGCCACCAAGGATAAGGGGAGGAAAAGTGTATTTTCCAGTCAGGGTCTATTCTTAAGTGCTCAGATATTCAGAGTAAAAGATCCAGTTTCAACTAAAATTTGAGAAATGTGTTAATAATGGATCCTAGGTGGATCTATTGAGATACAAACATTTTCAATCTATGTTGTCCAAAGTTAAATTTGTCATTACATTGTATCTTGACAAAGGTGATGTCTCATCAGCCAGTTTTTGTATTTAAAAAAATTATTCTTGGCAAATATTGTTATTTTTACAGTTTATTTTGATTTGTACTGTGTGTGTGTGTGTGTGTGTGTGTGTGTGTGTGTGTGTGTGTGTGTGTGTGTGTTTTGGGTCAAACATTTTGCTCATTGATAAGGTGAAGATGCAATACATATGTTAAAATTATATAACTGATTATACTTCACTTATACACATTTTTTGTGATAGTTTCTCAGTATTGTAGCAAAGGCTGGCTTTGAATTTCACATCCTCCTGCCTCAGCCTCCCAAGTGTAAGGATTGTAAGCATATGCAACTATGCTTATATCATAAAAAGATTTTTTTGTGATTGCTCAAGTTCCTAACAATTAAAATTATAAAAAGGTGTTGTTGAACACCTTTAAACATCTTCATTGGTTACCAAATATTAAAAGAGCTAATAACTTTGGGCCAATTTATCAAACAGAATGCAATCAGTTATCATTTTGAAGAAAATTCAATTAAAACTGGCTTCACCAATGGGTAAGCAATAATGGCTCATACCTGCAATGCCTGCTACTCAGGAGACTGAGGCAGAAGAGTCATAAGTTCAAGGCCAGCCTGGGCAACATAGTAAGACCCTGCCTCAAAAATAAATAAAGTAAAATGGGCTTAAAACAGTAACAAACTTACTAAGTCACATTACTGCAAACTTAGAGTATCACAGTTCTAGGGATGGTTAGTGTGTTCTGACGTCTTGACAACCTTGTCAAGAATCTGAGTATTTTCAGAATTTCCATTATTGTTGCTTTCCATCCCTCTGCTGTAAACTCGCAGCCCAAAGATGAGTGCCAAAGCTTCATGCATCACAACCTTACATAAAACCATTCAAGGGTAGAATAAGGATTAACATCATTTTATAACCCTTTTTAGGACTGAGAGAAACTTTCCTAAATTTTTCTAATAGATTTGCCCTCATTGGCTGTACCAATGCCATATTTGCATTCCTGAAGTGATCATAAGCAAGCGAGCATGATTTTCATGATTGTCTTCTAAAAGTGGAGCAAGTTTAGCTTCTACTTAATTCCATGGTTGCCAGATACCTGAACAAAACTGATGTTTCACCATTAAACAAACAGAGTACAGAGTAACTATGCAGGTAATTGATAGCTTGTGCTACAGTCATAGTTACAGCAATTTTCCATTCTTTTTTCTTTGCTCCTTGGAAAGAGGTGTGAAATGTTTCTGTAAACTTTTAGTAATTAAGTTGTCATCATTGTTTACTGCAAATAGGTAACATGATGAATTTCCTTTCACTTTTCACCCATAAAGTTGTTGTTGTGACCATCTTGTTGTAAATAAATTTGAAGGTTGCCCTTAAGGACTGTTGGTTCCATATCAGACTAAGGCATGTATTGAAAGGCATTCTTTGAAGCTTAAAATGTGCTTTGGAGCTATGACTTTAATAATAAAGTTAGAAATCACACCTGTTAATATTGTAGGACCTCATGGAAGATAAAGGGAAATGACAATAACAACAACAGGGAGGAGTATGTTATTTGGCTTTCAGTCACTGTGACAAAATACCTAAGATAATCAACTTGAAAGGAAGAAAGGTTTATTTTGGCTCACAGGTTCAGGTGGTTGCTTGATCCTGTTGCTTTAGGCCTGTGGCATCACAGAGCAATATGGCAGAAGCCTGTGGTAGCCTATTCACACCTGGCAGCTGGGAAGCAGAGACAGAGAGGAAGGAGCCAGAGTCCAGTATCTCCTTCAAGGGCATGTTCTCATAGCCTCAGTTCTTCCCACTAGACCTCACTTCTATGGCTTCCACCACCTTCCAATTGTGCCACAAGCTGGGGACCAAGACGTTGGCATATGAATCCTTGAGGCATGTTTCAGATCCAAACTACAGCAAAGAGCAATGACAAGCAGTAGCATAAAACAGTAAGACCAAGTGGAGAACGTGTAGAGAAGACTAAAGCATAGGACAGCAAATGTAGGTGAACAGCTAGTCAGGAAAGGCCAGGCCAATAGATCAGTCCTTGAAGTTCCTGTAATTGTGGGGTATGAGTCAGAAACAGAATAGCACTGGCTTTGAAATAATCCCTCTTCACATGCAGTGAAGCTTAGCATAGATATGAGGGAAATTAACAAGAGCAGAAACAAAATAAAAAGAGGAATAACTCAAGGAAACCAATCAATAGTATCTATAAAACAGGTTCACCGAGTCAGTTCCATTCAGTCAGAAAGATGAGGAGGTGGAGTGATTTTATGACATCTAGAAATTTATGAACTGTTCAAACACCAAGTTCTAGAAGAACTTGAGCTGACCTTACATCTGGCAATAGTAAAGAAAATTGCAACCTTCATATGAAAAAGAAAGCTTTCCAAATATTACCATAAGTCACTGAGAACAGAGTTTCTGCCTCAAGAAC